AGGCAGAGCATTCACATCGAGAACATGTGCAAATTGATCCAGTGCCTCCTGAGCTATGTCAAACTCACTTTTTACCCATCCTTCATAAACCTGACAAATATATTTTATCATGGAAAGGTGAAGGTCATATTCTATTACCACCTTGTCAAGTAATATCAGTTGATAGCCGCAGCTTGAGAAAAGCTGGTATTTTAATAGGCTCTCAAAAAGCAATAGTTAATACAAAGACTACTGTTTCAGGAGGATGTGATTCAATTCCTCATCAAGCATTGAAGTTAATGAATATTCCATCACAAGCTTCATTTGATGATGTTCATAATCAATTTGTCACATTGATTAATACATTTAACATATCAATGTGTGATGATCTTGAAGCGATACAATTAATTGAAGAAATATGTCGAAATGTTTATGAGCATTTTGAAGCCTCATTGAAAGAGTCACCTAGAGTCTCACGGAAACTAAATAAACACCAGAATCAAGATGATAATCAGTATAAAACAATTTTAGCCCAATATCATAACAAACCATTTATATGGACAGGGAGAGGCTTTGTTTGCCCTTGTGATGTATCAATTAATTGGAAACAGCTGGTGGGCCCATATCTTTATAAACTTCCTGGTATGTTATCGCAGCACAGAAACTTGGTAAATTGTTTACAGGTAAAGGAGAGTTTTAGCATTGAAAAACTACTGGGAACGTTCTCTCAAATGTATTCAGATTTTAGTCCTACACACAAACTTCCACAAGAATACCATGAAACTGCTAATAACATTGTCCAAGAGTTGAATACAAGAGATGTTCAGGAACTAACTCCCATGAAGGAAAAAGCTATTCTTGTTGATGCCAATTATATTCTTAGACAAGTAAGTCAGCTAGTTTTTAATGATGCTGCATGGTTGCCTCCTAATAATGACAGTAACTATGTGATACCACTTTTCATCAGAAAAGTAGCACTGGCTCTTGGAGTGCAACCAACAAGCAGTAAATTTCTTGACAAGTACACTTCGGCTATGCAAAGTTTCAGTGGAATACCATTTGGTCAACGCGAAGAGCTTACCCAGAGAATTAAAAATATTCTTCGAGATTATCCACTTGATGTTACTTTTCTTAAAGAACTCCTACAGAATGCTGATGATGCCAAGGCTAGTAAAATGTATGTGATACTTGATAAGAGAGAACATAGAAAACAGAGATTACCTTCAGAAAATTGGGCAGAACTGCAAGGACCTGCATTGCTTGTATGGAATGATAAAGAGTTCACTGAAAAAGATTTAGATGGAATTCAAAAGCTTGGTCTTGGTTCTAAACGTGATGATGAAGAGTCAATTGGACAGTTTGGCATTGGTTTTAATGTTGTCTATCATATAACTGAGTGTCCTAGTTTCATAACAAGGGGAAACACCCTGTGTGTGTTTGATCCACACTGTAGATATGTTTATGGAGCTGATAAACTTTGCCCTGGAAGACGATACAATATTGATGATAGTTTTTGGGACAGTATGTCTGACCTGCGCTCTTGCTTTCTTCAAGATGAGCTTCAAAATAAACCACAGGGTTTGGATAAAGGTTCCCTTTTTCGTTTTCCACTTCGATGCACTAAGGAGCAGGTAATGAAGTCAGAGTTAGTGAATAATGCAGTTAGAACAGAACCATTGACTGCTGATATAATGGAAAAATATCTCAATTTATGGGTAAACACCATGAAAGATGCTCTTCTCTTCCTCAATCATATTGTCCAGTTTGAATATTATGTCATTGAAAAGTCTGGTTCAATAAAGTGTGAGACAAGCTATGTTGTTCATATGGAAGGTAATGCCCATGAGATGCGAGCTAGTCTAAAGGAACAATTTGCTGCTTTTAAACAGACTAAAAAACCTTTTCTTGTTACTTATCCACTAAAACTAGAAACAAAATTGCTCAAGTTTTCAACACATGAGCAGTGGTTAATACAGCAAGGAGTTGGAGATGTACAAGATCCTCATAATGAACATTGGGAATATTTAAACAAGACTCTACCTAAACATGGCATTGCAGCTACTCACAAAAGAACTGAGAATTTTTATGGAAAAGTTTTCTGTTTTTTACCACTACCAGTCTACACCGAACTTCCAGTACATATCAATGGTCAATTTGTGCTTAATAGTGATAGACGCTCTCTTTGGGCAAGCACGACCAATAAGCATGACTCCAAAACAAAATGGAATGCTAATTTAATTAAAGCAATTGCCTCTTCTTATGTATGTTTTCTTGAAAAAGCAAAGTATTACTATGTAAATGGTGATGGCTATGGCACTCGTTCTGAATTATTAGATGCTATTAACAACTACTACAGCCTGTTTCCCTTCTTTGATCCGCCATTTATTTTTAAGAAAAAGGAAGAAAAGTCTGAAATGCCATACCGAACTAGCCAGGTTACTGTAGTATCACAGTCACCTAGTCGAAAACATGATGTTGCTAGAGCTAAAAAGAAAAATTGGGAAGATATTTGTAGCATGGTTTTTCAGTTAATGTGGCAAGAAAATTTACAATTATTAGCAGCAGAATTGAAGAAGGATGAAGTTTCTCAGACAAAATCCCAACCGCTAGTGTCATGGGTTGCTCAATGGCATAGATTTCGAAGTGACATTCCTCAAAATCAAGCATATTTTAAATCAACAGCAAGCAAAGAAGTAAAACAAGTATTGAGGCAACTAGGCATGATTCTCACCTGTGCCCCACCTATTCTATGCTCACATTTGCAGTCACAAGAAGTACAACCAGCTGTTTTATCAAGGGGCTCAGTTTATGATTACTACAGTAAGTTTCACACTCAGATTATTGGCAAATGTCCCTGTCCAATAAACCAATCACCTTTTAAGACAATGGATAACTTATGTTTCTTTTTAAATTACTTATTAAGTGTTAGCTTCAAAGGAATTGAAATGCAATATGAGTTCCCTCACTTTCCTGAGGGCATTCCACTTCTTCTTACAGCTGACTCACAGTTGCGATTATTTACTGATCCACCTGAAGTGCTATGTAGCAACTATGCACAACTTTTTAAGAATTCTTCCTCATGGATTTTACATGAAGGGATCATGAAAGCTGTGGGAAAACTGTCATCAACATACTTCATCTCCAATTTGTCTTCTGAAGTACTTGACAAAATGATGATTAGCAACTTTTCATCATCTATGAAATCTTCAGTAGTAGAAAATACAAATCATTGCATTATTACCAAAGAAAAATTAATGGAATTGTGGTTGTGCTTGTGTCATGATCCAATTATTTCTCAGTACAGGCAATGCATTGTCAATAGTTGGGCAATTATTCCCTCTGTGTCTGGTAAACTTTACTCTGCTAATTCCCGAGTTTTGCCTTTACTTGAACCAACTAGTCCAATATACATTGGTGCATTTGATAAACTTACTGATTTAAATGTTCCACAGTTTGACTCAACAAATTATGCTAATTGCTCAGCTAAGGACTACTGTGTTGATGTTTCGCATGTTTCCACAGTTTTGTCAGTACTGTTTCACCATCATTGTAAGACAAAAGTTTTATCAAATTTAAAAGCACCGCAAAAAACTATTCAATGTTTATTCCAATACTTTAGTAGAATAAATTTTGCTCATGATAGTGATAGCCTTGATTATATTCAGAGGCTTCCTCTTTTTGAAACAGTCAATGGGGACATAACCAGTCTTAGAAATAAGCAAGTCTATCGTTGGCCTATAGAAGCTTGCAAAGCTGGATATAGCAAGTGGGCATCTTCTGATAAAGTTATATTTCTTCCTGTTAACGGAGAATGGAGGATTCTTTGTAATTATAACATTGAAGTATTAGGTGGTCAGCATCTTACTGAAAGAGAACTTTACATTCGTTTTATTTTTCCAGTGTTTCAAATTTTGACATCAGATGAAAGAATGGAACATCTCAAACACATTAAAGATACTTTGTTTTCTGATCTTCAATATGAAAGTCAGCTTAAAAAGGCTAGTAGAAGAGCTCCAGCAATAGATTTTATTGAAAAATTAAAAAAATTGCCTTGTCTTGAAACAAGTCATGGTAATCTCCAAGCAATCAAAGAGTTTTCTGACCACAACATGCTAATATTTACAACTTTTTCACAGCATTTTCTGTTTGTACCTAAGGAATATCAGGAAGATGAATGGCTGGAATTTTTAAAAGCCCTTGGCCTTCGAGTGACAATTACAACAGAAGAATTTAAGTTATTTGCTACAATTGTTTCTACTGCAAAACACAAAAATGTTTCAAATGCATCTAGTGTACTAGTGGAATATTTATTTTCTGACTCAGCAAAAGAATGGCATACTGACAAGTATATTTTGTCAGACATCGCTAAAATTGCATTTGCCAAAGTTGCTAACCTTAGTAATTTGGAATGGATAAAAAAGTCATGTCAACCTCCATTGTACCTAGAAGGACAAAAACTGGGACTAACAATGCTTAATAAATCTGTAATAAATGACAGTGCCTCATTGATCTGGACTGTGAAGCCAGTAGTAAATCTACCTGTACCACCATACATGTACTTCAGTACATCCCAACAATATTGTACACTTTTGGAATATTTGGGTGTTACACTTAAGCCTGATTCTGAAGATGTTTATGAAAATTTAATAAATGTGTCACAGACGGGCTTAGCAAAATTTGACCTGTTTCACAAATATAATTCAGCTTATTTGGCAACAGACAATGACAGAGTCAGCATAGAAGCAATAATTAAACGATGTTTTGATTATTTATTTGAGCACAAGG